GAAAGCATGTATGCGAACGGCTCTGACTAAAAAAAGGGCTGCTGTCTCTCCATGTATCCAAATCGGCCCCTCAGACAGGCATGATGAAAACTGAGCCGTTGTTTGCTGTGGAAAACACAGCAACAACACAAAGGACCAGCTGCAGTGCCTTCCCTTGGGGATTCTGCACAGGGCAGTGGCAGGAGCAGTTCCCCTTTCTGGGTCCTGAAAATAAATTCTTACACCATTTCTCTTTTTGTCAGAACCTGTGTATTCAGTGTTCAACTTGTCTTTGATTTCATTTCCTTTATTGAAAGAGCTTGGTTTGCTTTATCCTGACACCAGTGGAAAGAGAGGCCGTGGCGGGGAAGGCTAGTGTGTGGGATTCTGGCTTCGTCCCTTACTGGTTTTGTGCCTAGTTTCTAGCTGAAGCCCTCTTTCCTCACCTGAAAATAGAGAAAACTCTTCTTGCCTCATAGGACTGTGTGAGGAATAACTGAATGATTTAGTACATAGAGTGCCTGGCACATAGTAATTGACAAAAAAAATTATAAAAGTGAAAAGGAACACTGTGGTTAACCCTGGGTCTAGGGCAGGAGCCCCATAAAGTTGTTCTGGGCCCCAGAGGTGAACCATCCAGACAGGGCAAGAGCTTTGGGAGGGAAGGGGAGACCAGAAATAATCCAGGAAGTTTTCTTATTTTAGCAGAAGTTCTTACAGTATTTTGGGTGCAGTGTCTTTTGATCTGACTGCAGAACTCAGCACATTTGTAGAGATCCAGATCCTGGAATGTTTTATGCACAGGAACTGATAAAGGCTCTTAGCTAATTTAGCTTGCACATCCAAACACAGTCACAACAATTTCTCACCTCCCAGATAATGTGAAATAATGCGCCCAGGTTCACAATTTATCTTTTACCCCAAGGCTGCTGTGCGCCTTGTGTGATCACTCATTTAGGCCAGTGACCTGGGGCCAGAGCCCTGCCTCTGCGACAAGCTAACCCCTTCTCTGACTCAAAACCGAGGCCTTTAGTAATAGTCTGCTTGGAGGAGTTTTACATCAGGGGATGCTGACCCATGAAGCCACTAGGGTATATGTTGTTGGCTCATTTTATGAACTTCTTTGGATCTTGGAGGTCTCTGGAAACCCTTGTCTGGTCTGTGTGCAGTGCCTCACACAGTGTGCACCAGAAGGAAACACCTGCTGGAGTCTCCGAGGGAGTTAATGAGGCCAAGGCAACCTCTCACTTGTCAGCTTCCATCCTGCTTAGAATTATCTTCTGATGCTTCTGGGTCTGACTGAGTGTGGAGGAGAAAGGGGATTAGCTGAGGAGCTGCCATGGTCTGCAAGGTGGGGGACAGTGCAGGTGGGAGTGAGACCAGTGGAGATCAAGCAGAGGACAGGCCCTGAGCATGAGAAATGAGGAAAGTTTTATTTACTTGGCTGGTGAGACCTTGGGAAAATAGTGAAACCAAATCTATCTAGATGTCAAGCCAGTAACCCTTATGGGACAGGAGGGAGGTTAGGGAGCAGAAGACACACAGGTTACAGTGGGGTCGTGCATTAAATAGATGCTGTATTAAAACTGCAAAGAAGCCCAAGAATATGTAGGTGGTTCAGGAATAGAGATACAAGGGGACCCTGTGATCAACTGAATGAGTAATGCTGATAGGGTGATAGGAAGAGTTGATATCGGCCACTTAATAGAAAAAAATTTTGTAATAGAAGAATCTACAGTCTCTATAGCTCTGATATTATTTCTCATATTTCTGCAAAGTTACACCTGCAGTCCAGGAGTATCCCTTTCAGTTGCCTCATCTTTCAAAAGCCTATGCACAACCTTTGTAAGGAAGGTTTACAAAAAAAGGCTTTTGAGCAGCCACAATGGATGGGCAAAACCCTACCACAAAGCCATGCACTGGCTCATGGGCGAGTCCCCCTGCTCTCACGTACAGCCCAGTCAGACTTCAATGAGCCAGAGCCAGCTGGAACCCCAGAGCTGGTCTAAACCAAGTTGTTCAGAGGTTTATTGAAGGGATTCAGGGAATGCTTGCAAAAATAAAAAGTAGGAAGTACAGATGAGCCTTGCAACTATTAGAAAGTCACCCAGCATCTGGTTTCTCGGGCTGCATGGTTTCCTGTCTGCCTCATTCCAGGCCTTTCTCCTATTCTCCTTTGTATAACAACTTCCTCTCTTCCTGCAGGTCCCCACAGCCCCATCATTTGATCTTGTGCCTGGCATTTGCTTCTCATAGGGCCCCTACTACACTTCCTTTAAGCTTTAGGGTCCACTGCAAGCTTGCTGTAGTCTTTTTTCATAGTTGCAATTTTGAAAGTATCTGATTGGTCCAGCTCCCTTATTTATGGGTGAGTTGCTTCTTTTTCTTTTTTTTTTTCAATTTCTACCTGGGACATTTTTTTCATTGCTTTTATAGAGAAAAGAAGGGAGAGAGAGAAACATCAACATGAGAGAGAAGCACTGATTGGTTGCCTCCCATACGTGTCAGGACCGGGGGTTGTATGTGCCTAGAATGGGTATTGAACCTGCAACCTAGGTATGTGCCCTGACCGGGAATAGAACCTGCAACCTTCCAGTTATGGGACAATGCTCCAACCAACTGAGCCATACCAGCCAGGGCATGAGTTGCTTTTAAATCAAAATTTCACCCTTTGACCATCAGGGGAGGCCCAAAGTGTGAGTGGGTGGGGTGGGTGGTGGCAGGTTGGGCAGGTAAAATGACTTGCCTACTTGAATGACATTGGAGGTCTGCGAGCCATCCTCCAAAGGATTGGAAAAGCATTGATGAAACCCCATGCTCCCTCATTAGTGTGTGAGGTGCTGTTGCTAGAGTGCAGGGTACATGGGGTGGAGTGGTAAGGGGGCTGGTTGACTGGGAAGGGGCATGAGACTTGGGTCCCCAGAGTCTTTGCCTGGGTCACAGAGCCACAGAAATCCAATAAGTCTGTTTAGACAGATTAGTGGGTGAGTTATCCATCTCTCACTGAAGGTTTGGCTTGGAGTAAAAGGAAGAAGGTAAAAGGCTAGCTAGAGAGGAGTGGAGAGTGGGGTCCTCTTCCTGTGAAGGAGGCAGGTGCATCAGCAGCCCAGTAGTCCCCATACTCTGAGAGTACCTTACTGCTGTTCCCTGGGGGAGGATCCCTATGGCAGGCTCCCAGGCGGCCATCAGCAGAGCTGTGTTTGTGGGTAGAAATCTCTTTCTGGCCTGGCTCGCTCTCCCCATGAGGACTCTAGCTCCTGGTGTTTTGTTGACATTAATTATACACAGCAGCAAAATGCTCAAATGCTGCAGGCAACTTTTTATTTTTCCATCTCACCTGATGCCTTTGTCGTTTGTCCTGATCTGCCCTGAATGTTTGTAAGACCTTGACATTTCTGTACCCTCAATTGGCTTGTTTCGGCTTCCGTTTCACCTGACCTCAGTCAGTTTTCCTACCAGTATCTGAATGATGATTGTTTCTCTTTGCATCTTTCTTCTAGACACCACCCTTATGTATTACCACTCCTTCTCTGGCCCTAAGTGGATTTCTCACTTTTTCCCCTATCTACCACATAACCCCTCCTCAAGCTTGATTAGAGGAGCTCATTTGATCATCATGGATCTTGTCTTAGACTTGAGCTGAGCTGAGTGTGAGCATGAAATATGAAAGCCCAGACTCCTGGAAGGCAGCACTCATTTCCACTAGAAATGTGATGCATGAAAAATTTGGAAACTCTTTGATCCAGCAATTTGACTTCTAAGATTGTGTCTTAAGGAAATAACCATAGATTTTCCTCAAAGACTAAGCTTTACAAAGGACTATTTGTAATTAGCAAAAAGATGTTGGAGATGACTTAGGTGTCCAGCCTTTTGGGGTGGGGTAAATTTATGGTACAGCCACATAAATTGCCTGGCTTTATTGCATCTTTGTAAAAAAAATCTTTTTTTTTAATTTTATTTTAATCATTGTTCAAGTACAGTTTTCTCCCTTTTGCTCCCATTCCAGCCCACCCATCCAACCCTCCCCACTTCCCTCCCATTACCACCCTCCCCCTAGCTTTTGTCCATGTGTTCTTTAAATTTGTTCCTGTAAACCCTTCCCATTCTCCCCTGAAATTCCCTCTTCTCTCTCCTCTGGCCACTGTCAGTCTGCCCCCTATTTCAGTGTCTTTGGTTATATTTAAAAATATGGAACGCTTCATGAATTTGCGTGTCATCCTTGTGCAGGGGCCATGCTAATCTTCTCTGTATCGTTCCAATTTTAGTATACGTGCTGCCAAAGCGAGCACAAAAAAAATCTTACTAATAAAATAAAACTAGGAAGTATGTGTTATCTGTAGTTATCTTGGGTGGGTGGAGAAAGAATGGGTAACTTTTCTCCTTTTTATGACTTAATTACATTTTCTGAAATTTCTAGAATGAACATGAATTTCTTTGGAACTAAGAAAAACAATTACTTTAAAAACAAATGCTGTCCACTCAGACAGCTATAGTAATATATGGGTTGAAAATTTAGACTCAGTTAAAAATGTCCCCCCCAAAAATTAGAAGTTGAATTCAGATTTATAACATTGTAAACGGCTTACTACAGAGGTCAAAGGGAGACTTGAGCCAGTTTGATGTACTGTTGGTTGAAATCAGTTGTCCACAACCTTATCTAAACACAACCTTGGGGCAGGAACTGTAGTTTTTTCACTGATTTTTCTTATGAATGATAGCAAGTAAGTAGCACCAGGGTTCAGTGTCTGAAGTACATTGCTTTGCTTAATCTACAGTCCACTGTGAAATGCTCAGCTCCCAAAGGGATAGGTTTGGGTGAATAGATGGCCAGTTTGAACCCTGGGAAGAAGGTTGGCTCCTTCAGGTGAGACTGTTCTGGAAGGAAGACTGTTCTGATGTGGTAGGAGTGGCCAGGGTAGGGAGTGGGAGGGGCAAGGGTTCCTACCCTCCTGCATTTATTAACATATGTGCCTCTGATGCTTTGCATGCAACTTTGCTTTGTTTTTTTTTCTTCTCTGCAGGCAAGGTAGAGCCAATTGTGCAGAGCTGTGCAACCAGCAGCCCAGAGAGAAGCAGCTATGATGCCCAGCTGAAGTGATCTGGCCTCCTTGAGCCTGCCCCAGCCCTGGTGCCAGGTGTCTGTCCCAGCACTGAGGTAAGACCCCTTCATTTGCTGCCTGGGGTCATAGAGGGCAGAATGCCTCTTATTGGGATGGTGGTGGTGTGTGAAAATCTCCTCTAAGGCTCAGGAAACAAGCAGCAGTTTATTCTGGTATAGTCAAACCATCTGCTTCCACTTCAGCCCATTAGGAGGCAAAGTTGTTTGGTGGCCAGAGAGACTTTGATTTTTCAGAGCAGGTCTTTTGGAATCTGAACATGGAGTTGTGTTTTGCCAATTGCTGGTGAAATTTGAATTCCAAAGGCAGTAAATTTATTCTCCAGGTAAGACTGCACCTGATTCAGGTGAATGCTTAATTTAGGTGCACCTGTTCTGTTCTGCAAGGGAAGTCAAGCTCTTAGGAAACTCTGTGTCTCTTTCTGCCTGCCTGCCTGCCTGCCTGTCTGTCTGTCTCTTCAATCCAAAGGAAATAGAGTAACAGACATTGTATGGGAGGGAAGTTACTGCAAAACATTCCAGTAAGCTCATTAAAAATGACTGTAATGACCTAGATATGTTCTGATTATAATAGGGTATTTGGAAAACTACTGATGTGGAAGAAAATAAAATATGCCTAAAATCCTGCTGCTGTTAATCTTCCAGGTAGTTTTTATTAAGGTTACTCTTGAAGCTTCCACAGCACACTGGCTCCTCCTGCATGGAGGGAGAGAGGCAAGGCAGAAAACACACTCGCATAGGAGCCAGGAGAACTTGTTTTTAGTCTGGAGGCTCTCGAGAGCAGATTTTTAAATATTCAGGATTTGCGTGCTGGTTGTTAAAGATTGTTAGCAGCTTGAAATTGGCTATGGTGGAAAAATTTACACCGCAGACAGTAGCCAGTGCTAAAAACCAGGGCTGTTTTGTCTTGGAGATTCGGATTGCCAGCACATCCGTGGGCCCAGTGCTTCCTCTACCACCAACAGGCCGGGTGGCAGAGCATGGGCAAGGCATGTCACTGGTGCATCTCTCTGCTCAGTAAGTGTTTGTTAAATGAATGAATAAGAGTGAAATTTCTGTTTTTATTATCCCATACGAACATTGGGAGGGTCTCCTAAGGCAGGGAAAATTAAACGTTTTGTATGCTGTGAGGCTCCCTGCCCTTGGAAGAAAGGGGTTTAGTTGATTGATAATCTCTGGTATATTGATGGAGAGCAGTTGCTGGCATTTTCCTACTTGGGAGAATCTGTGAATTATTGACACCCTTTCATAAGGGCAGATGAAAACTCTCCATTTACTGACCAACATCTGGGGCAAATTTCCTTGCTGGAAAAATCAAGAAGTGGGTCAGAGAAGTGTGAACAGGAAGCCCCAGCGCTACCAGTTGTGAGAGCCAGGACTGAAATCAGAGCTTTTGACTCATAAGCTCTAATGGGAGGTGGGGGGTGTAGAGGAGAGAGGAGGAAAAGGGGCATTTCCTGCCAAATGTGAAATTTAAACAAAAGCCTCTTTCTTCAAGGCCCTGCTGTCAGCAGATTAGAGCTAATTAAATTAGGATAATGGAGACCCAGCATCTGCCTGCTCCCCCTACTTTCTGAACCTTGGTTTCTTCTCCTCACCTCTTTCTTGGGTCCTGAAGGAGGGGATGAGAGAAGGTGAGGCACCAGATAAGCATCAGTTGACTGTAGAACTGTAGTTCAGAAAATTACAAAGGTGGAAAGGCTATAGAGGCCATCAGGTTCCACACCCTTGGTTTAAAAAGCTAGGTCACACAGCTGGTGGTTTTCTCTCATTCCCGAGGTGAAGGTATGTGGTCTTGGGGAGGCAGGGAACCAGGTGGGGGAGGGGAGTGGGGGTTGGGACTCTGCTCCAGAGGCCACCTGCTCACTGAGCCCTTGCAAATGGTCTCTGGGTGCCAGCCCTGCCTCTGCCCTTCTCAGTCCCCACCCTGCCTCTGCTTTTACAGCCCCAGTGCATTTCATAAGGATAAGGAGGTCCCCTCTGGGGTGTGAGAAATTAAGCTGCTGCCCACCCTTGCCCCACCCCTCCCCCTCCCCATCAGGGGCCTGGTTTTCCAGGCCAGTGAAATCAGCTGAGAGAATCTTATTCTGAGGAGCCTTAGGTGTATGTATGGGGAAGGGAAGAAAAGGCTGTTTGAAGTCATGATGGCTCCAGGCACTGTGCCCTGTGCTCAGTGATCTCATTTAGTTCTGCAATGACCTAATGAGGTAGGCATTTCTACCACCATGTAGCTGAAGTTTACACTGAGTCTTGTAGAGGTAAAGAGACTAACTCAAGATTTCACAGCTCATAAGCAGCAGAGATCTAAACTAAGCCTGTCCGTGACCTCTACAGCTTCTCAAAGTTAGGGGCCACTTTTTACTCATCCATATGGGCAGGAGTTCCCAAATCAAGTTGCGATGAGTAGGGTCCTTTTCCTTGAGGAACATCTTTCTATTTCTGAAGCTACCTGAACAGTTGCAGCTCAAAGTGCTTGGAGCTTTACAAAGGGCCACATTGTTCCTTTCAATCCCAGTGGCTTTCCCTGTGCAGTAAGAGAGCATCAGAGCTGGGAGCCTTGAGAGTCCTTTAGTGTACTTTTCTTACTCATGTGATACTCAGACGTGAGGTGGCATGCTCAGCCATTTAGAAGTAGGGGCCTTCTCAGCCTCTGGACTCATAGTGCTCTCTCCAGGGGAACTTACTGAGGTGGATCTGTTTGGTTTTCCTGTGTTTGGGTAAAGGGTTATTTCTTTGATAAGACGGATTTAATTGAATTCCACAAATATATACTGAAAGCCTATTGTGTACCCACTCAATTATCCTGGCCTGTTTGCCCCCAAGATTCTGGCTCATCCTTGTGTACACAGGTGTGACAAGGGGAGGACCTCCCTACATCAAGACTATGTGACATATCCTGTAACTACTCAGGTCCTATCTTTCCTGCAAGAATTCTAAAGGGGGAAGTTGTGTCTCAGATTGCTGTGTGTGTCCCAGGGTTCCCAGACTTCTGAAGAAAAAGTTTTAAGTGCTCAACCTGCTACCTGGGGAACAAAGCAGCAAACGGTGGGTCAGGGTCTCTGGGAGACCCTTGCAGAGGGGTAGGGTCAAGGGAAGGAGGCAGCATGGCAGAGGGAATGAGTTGGGTAGGCACTGCTAAGTTGGGTAGGCAACTTTTCCTGTGGAGCTAGGGTTGTGTAGTTTTGTAGACAATCAAAAATCCTTTCTATCTATGGTACCTGATCAACTTCAGGAGAACACTCTCCATTCAGCTGGGGACTCAATGTGAATCAGGGTTGAAAGCGTTCTTTGGAAAGTTTGTGGGCTTGCCTCCACATCTTAACATCTGGGGACATGTTGGCCCAGAAAGGGGAAGGGGCTTATCATTGACACAAGTGAAATGGAACATGCTCTTCTGAATATCTGGTCAGGGTCCTTCAGACCACACTGTCTGGCTGCATAGGGAGGAACGTTCTAGGGAGCAGGGACAGCCTATTTCCAGCTTTAGCATGTGCAGTCCTCTACCTGTGACGGGCTGGGATTGGTGGTCAGAGGAATGTGCGGCAATGGCAACCCAGAAGGGAGAGGGTGTCCTCTCAGTGATGCCAGCCCTTCACCCTCCTTCTTTCAGACCCTTCCTTGAGGACTTGCTTAGGCCAGGGGGCTGTCACCTGTGGCTTCTTGCTGGGAATTCACCATTGAGGGAAGACATCAAAATACTGAGAAAAGTGCCCCAGCCTCAGAGACATTTGACCTGGGTTTGAGCTTTGCTTGACCATAGCGGCATGATTAATTGGCCTTTCTGACCTAGTTACCTCATCTGTAAAATGGGCTGAATAATAATTACCTAGAGTGAAGATTAAAAATTACTTATATAATGTGTTTTCACAAAGTAGATGACTATTAAATGGTACTCATTTTTCATGTATCTCTACTGAAGTAAAATTGATAAAAACATGTATGTTCAAATCACACAACTTGATGAGTTTTGACATTATTTGTATATGCTCATGAAATTCTCCCCCAAAGTAAGGAACCCTTATCTCCTCCTCCACCTAAAGTTTTCTCCATCACCTTATCCCTCCCTCCTGCCTCTCTATGTCTTGCCTCCCATGCCCAGGCTATCATGAATCTGCTTTCTAACACTATCAATTACTTCGCATTTTTCTAGAACTTTCTGTAAATAGCATAATACAGCACCTGCTCTTCTTATACTCAATATAATTCTATTGATATTCATTCATCTTCTGTTTATCAATTGTTGGTTCCTTTATTGCTGAGCAGTATCCCATTGTATGGAAATACCACAATTTGTTTATCTACTCACCTGTTGACAGACATTTGGGTTGTTCACTTATTTTTTGCTATTACAATAAAGCCACTGTAAGCATTTGTGAAAATGTTTTTTTTTGTGGGATATATACATTGTTTTCTCTTGGCTAAATACAGGAGTAGAATGGCTGGGCCATATGGCAGTGCATGTTCAACTTTTTGAGAAGCTGCCAGACTGTTTTCTGGAGAGCGTGTACCATTTCATACCCCCACCAGCAGTGTATGAGTGTTCCAGGCGCTCCACTTCCTTGTCAACACTGGGCATGATCAGTCTTTTTAATTTTAGTTACTCTAACAGCTGTATGGTGCTATCTTATAGTGGTTTAATTTGCATTTTCCTAAAGATTAATGATGCTGATCATCTTTTCATGTGCTCATTTGCTGTCTGCATATTTTCTTTGGTGAACTATCTGGTCAGATATTTTGCACATTAAAAAATTGGGTTATTTGTTTATTCTGATTGAGTTACAAGTGCTCTTTATATATTTTATAGACTAGTTCTTTATCGGAGATATTTGCAGATATGTTTTCCAGTTCTGTGGCTGGCATGCTGTGGGTGGCATTACAAAGTAAACTGATAATTACAAGTCAGTTGAAGGGTTGCTATGCATAAGAAAATATGAAGGAAAAGTCAGTAACCTTAGTTGAAATCAGGGAAGCTTCCTGGAGGAGAAGGTATATGAGTTGAGTCTTAAAGGAAATGAAAACTTAAGTAGGCGAAGGAAAGG